TTTGTCTTCTTTAATTTATCCAAATTAATTAATTAGCTTTTATATTAAGGACAAGGGGTTGTATTTTTTTACACAAAAGATATATATATATATATATATATATAAAATAGAGATGTTTATGAGGCCTAAAAGCTCACAATGCTCATCCAAGCTTGGTAAAATTATGCTCAGCCCAGCCTTAAAAGGGTAGTCTGAAAAGTAATTGAGCATTTTTGGGCCGATTCAAATGTCGAGTAGGGCTGGGCATTGAGCAATGTACTATAATGTACCCATTTGGTCATGTCCAAAGTCTATATATATAATGCTATTTATTATATATAATACACATATATTCACTATATCATTGCATAATATATATGTAATACACATATATGGTAGAATGAAATATTTCAAGACTTAAGTTGCTAACATATATGATCATGGATGCCGTATGAAAACTTACCATCTTGTGGTTGATTATGTAATTATAAGAAAATATGAAATGATAGATCGATATGTGAATTTGTATTATAGTCTTTATATTTCTTCTCTTGAAATAACAAATATTTTAAGTTATGAAATTATAAAAATATATTTAAAGTCCAAAACGTTATTTATTAAGTAAGGTGAAGACATAATATAGATAGGGTGCCACCACTTGTACAGAGAAGCCCACCCTTCCCTATCCTATCTAGCTCCACCCAAAATTGCATGGGCTTTCATCAGGCTGGACTAGGCACTGAGCTACAAAATGCAACTCTAAATTATATAAACACTATTTTATTCATAATACAAGGGAAAAAGAGAACAACAAAAAATAAAATCCCAATTCAAGCACCTAACACTTCAAAATCTCAGGAAAGGAAGTGATGCCTGATATGATATTTTCCAAATATAATTAAATGACTAAAATGCTCTTGTTTTAAATTTGTCATTGCCAGTACATTTTTTGTAAAATATTTTCCTCAAGTCGTTATCATAAAAAATTCTAATATATTTTAAAATATAATATGCTTGACCTAAAGTATTAATTTTTTCAACATAATAAAATTTCGTAGTTAATTAAAACTGCGCTAATTAATAATTTTTGTAAAAAGTAATTTTAAAATTATATAAAAAATAATTAAGTTTAATTAATTTCATTTTTTATTATTAATTGCTAATGATAAGGATGGGAGGCATTAGAAAGGCACCACAAATGTCCAATTATAGTGTGTATATCACGGCAGGCCAGTCCGCAACCAACATATTAACCCATCATTACTACAGACCAGTTTAGGTCTTCATCACTTAGATGAGCACCTTAAACTCAACTCATCAGATATGAACTGTTCATATTTGATTTGGACTATCTTAGATTTGATTTCCGTTTTATTTTTATTTATTTGGGTTAATATAATTTTTGGTCCTTCAAATTTGAATCCATTTTGATTTTGGTCCTTAAAATTTACTCCGCTACAAAATGTTAGCCCTTGGCCATTAAGTTTTGCTGAGTTGGTATAAACGGTATTAGTTTGGGAGATGTGGCTTCTAACTTAGCTAATGTTAGGTGGCACAAAGAGCTGACATGAAATTAGGAAGGGGAAAAAAAAGAGTCAAGTGCTGCGTGCTCACGTGCTGCGTTTTAAACAAACCTGACTTTTTTTCTTTTTTACTTTTCCTAATTACATGTCCAGCTCATCATGTCACCTTATTAGTTAGCTCATGTTGTTACGTAGCCACATCATCCAAACTAACACCATTTGTGCCAGCTCAGAAAAACTTGATGGTTAGGGGCTAATTTTTTGTAATAGAGTAGATTTTAAGGACTAAAATCACAAATTTGAAATCTCATGAACCAAAACCAAAATAGGTCCAAATTTGTAAGACCAAATATTACACTAATCATATTTGTTTAAAATAAATATTTTGATAGGTATAGAATCTAAAATAAAGATAATTTCTTAACTACAATTGGTTTTAAAAAATAATTTTTTATTTAAAAATAAATAATTAAAAATTTTAAATCTTGATAATCCATATACATCAAATCTAAACAGTTCACATCTGATAAGTTTGGGATGATCACCTATTCCTATCTCTCTTATACCAAATGAGAAATATAGCTCTCATAGACTATCCATCGTCATCGCTCCCCTCCATGTCTTTTTGAATCACTTCCACCACCACGTCAGGAGCTACTACTATAGGATGGTATCCTAGCGTCGTGACCATAGCAAGCTTGGTAAAAAGGTCTGCTACTTGGTTGCTCTCTCTCAGAGTATGCTCGAAGACAACTGTCCATTCTCTGGTTCTCATAGATTTAATTTCTTTAATCAGGGACACGTCAATGTGGGTCGAGAGATTCGCCTCGTTAATCAGCCTGAGAACCTCAGTTGCGTCAGTTTCTAATACTACTAGTCTTGATCCTGAATCCCAGGCTAGTTTAGGCCCCAACAAAATCGCCCAAAGCCCCACAATCAAAGCATCACTGGTGCAGCCCTAAGGATGAAACCAGATATGAACTCCCCTCGATTGTTTCGAATCACACCTCCACTTACTCCTCCCGTGTGTGCCGAGTAGTCCCCATTGGTATTAGCTTTCATCCATCCCTCTTAGGGGTGTACAACTCGGTTGACTAGCCACAGTACAGCTGCCTTTAGGCATTACTCCCTAGAGCTCATCATTCGCCCACTTGATGGCTTCCATGGTGGAAAAGGCCACAGCCTTTAAAGAGGCGTTGCTATGAACTTTTCCTTCAAAGACATACTGGTTTCGCCTTTTCTAGAGCAATCAAACAATTGTGCAGAAAATGCTCACCCCATTCTTTTAAGTGAGAGAGAAGACTGTGTAAGGTGTACATTTTAATCTAGCTTTCACTATTGGCTTTGAAAAACCAGCTATTAAGTGCACCTTGTAACAGCTCAAGCCACGACCTCTCAGTGGTTGGACAATCACGAAGGACGAGTCACAGACTCTTAAGTGGTAATGGCACCACACACATGAAGCATCACTGGTCAAACCGTGTTAGACACATTCTTCGTTATTGTCACTAGACTCCTTTGTGATAGCTTCTTGTGCACTCTTGATGCTGAAATTTTTGTTTCGTTCATACTTCCAGCGTGTTATTCTATTTGCATGGTCAATCACAATCCCCTCTTCTGCGTACTTCCAAGCTTCCTTTGTACCCTACACAGCATATTTAACCCTCGTCATTCCATGTCAATAGCAAGGTTTAAGTCATTACCACATTTATACTTGCTCGTTATCACCCTAACCCGTAGGTCTTCACGCCACTTGATTAGGTTCCAACCAGGTTTAGCCATAAATGCTTGATTCTGCAGCCTCATGCATTTAACTCCCAACCTGCCATGTGCTTTGGGTTTGCAAACCATCTCCCAAGCTGCTAAATGGGTCTTTCTCCAGTTTTTTTTTGCCGTGGAGCCTTATATGACGGCTCTGTTGGTCTTCTAAATTGCTTAGGAAGAGAAGATGTTTGCATGGTATAGCTCAGAATAGTTGAGGTGACTGCCAAGAGAAGAGTTGTTCTCTTGGCAAGAGAAAGGGCTTTAGCTCTCTAGTTTGAAAGCCATTTTTTTGACTCTGTCAACGATCTCATGGAAACTCTCCTTTATAACCTGTTTCTCATCCAAAGCTACTCCAAGATATTTGCCCAAATCTGCTACCATTGAAAGCCCAAAGCAATACTAAACTGTGGTGATGCAATTGTCTATGATCTCCACCGGGTGATTTGGTAGATTTAGTTCCATAAGACAGTGGCGCAGAAAATTCCAGTTTACTCTTTCATACACCTTCTCTAGATCAATTTTTATTACCATATAACCTTTATTTCCTTGCATAGGTCGCATAGAGTGGGTGACCTGTTTGGCTACTATATTGTTGATTGAACTGTGTCTCTTAGAGAAAAAAACTGCATTGATTGGGGCAGATTACGTTACCACTCCTATCTTAATACTCTTTATAATCTGTTTTCATCTACCTCGCATCGGGTTAATATAATATTTTTCTCTTTTTTGATATAGAGTCAAACAGTACATTACAATCTAAGAGTAATAGAATGCGCAATATTACTAGTAAGATACCTGTATTCTTCCACAAAAAAGAGATAGATAGTGGAAATAAGTAGGAATATGCAAATTCAAATTTGCAAAATAGTTATAACAGAAATATTTAAACACTCCCATGATATCCGATATAAATATTCAAACTCCCAAATAAATTCTTGAAAATTTTCTTAGAAATTTTTGAATAACTTCCACTACTATTAAATTTCAAATTTTCGAATAACTTCCATTAACTCATATTTAAATTTCTATTTTGGCTTCCGTTAATATTTAAAATTTTCAGTTTTAACTTCCATTAATATTTAAATTTAAACAGGTATAGATTTTTTAATCCCATATATGTGATTCAAACTCCAAAATAAAAACTTAATATGTGAACTCCATAAATATTTAAACACTCCTATGATATCCGATATAAATTTTCAATCTTCCAAATAAATTCTTAATTATTATCTCAGAAATTTTTAAATAACTTTCATAAATATTTAAATTTCAAATTTTCGATTAACTTCCATTAATTCATATGTAAATTTTTATTTTGGCTTCCATTAATATTAAAAATTTTCAATTTTAACTCCCATTGCTATTTAAATTTCAATTTGTATAGATTTTTAATCTTCAATTTTATTTGTTCTTATCAGTGATTTAACTTTCCTGATTCACCCTGATATAAATTACAAATAGAGTCACGAAGTCGCACAAATAGAAAAAGCTACAAGATATCATAAGAAAAACCATTATTACAGATGGATTGAACAAAAGTAAAATACATTAGTTCCCTATAAAGACACTGAAACAAATAGAGAACATAAACCAAACTAATAGATAGTAAACAACATTAGACTAAGACATCCACAAAATGAAGAATGACACACAAGCCAAAACACAAATATAAAACACCCTATGACTAACATAACTTAATATCCCAGGACTGCATAAGTGAAACCTTCACAGCTTCTACTCCTTCACAACAAATTTGAGCTTCTTTTTAGCTGAAGGCTGTGGGTCCCCAGCAAGCTCATCCACGTCTACCTCCCGGGTTATTGTGGCGTTCACGCTCTTATCGCTACCACTGACCACCGATGAGCTGGTGCCCTGCGAATCCAACATTGACAAATCTGCATCTTGAAAGAATGCCCAAAAGGGTTAACTGTTGAAGTTATACAGAGAAAAGCACAACGATAAGGGACATGAGTCATGACAGCAAACCTGCTCCTCAACAGCTCCGCCAGGATTGTGGGTGGAGCCATCATGGTAGTCGTTCAAAGAAACAAGATAAGTATCTATAACATCTCTATCATCAATCATACGTATAACTCGACATGAAAATGATGACCCACCCACATAGTCTGATGGAATCTTAACCATAAAAAGATATTGCCGCCCAACAATCCTTTCGACCACATCTTCAGGAAGCAATTTTCAAGCTACATTTAGGGTGTGTTTGGATGAAACCAAACCGTGGTTTGGAAAAGTGATTCTGGAGAATAGATTCTGGGAAGAATAGATTCTGGAAAGAATAGATTTTATGAAAAAGTGATTTTGAGAAGTGAGAGTGTTTGGATAGTTGTTATCAGAAGCATTTTTTATATATACAAATTACTAAAAAAAAGACATAAGTTAATATGATAATTACAGAAAAAATAGATTTTATGATATATTTTAATTTGAAGAAATAAAATTGTTAATAATATATATTTTATTAACATAATTAATAATACATAAGATAATATAATTAATAAATAATTAATATGTATATATATTTATAAAATATAAGATTAAATATGTTTATAAAAAAATATGTTTATAAAAAAAATAACAAGATACATATCCTATAGGCTCTCACACTCTCCCTTTTTTCTCCAAAAGCAAAATTTTTTTGCTTTTTCTAAAACCATGGTTTTGGTTTTTTGGTGGATGTTTGGGTGATTTATTCCCCAAACCATGGTTTGGGGTGTCACCCAAACACAGCCTCAATCACATAAGGCCAAGTCAACACTTAGAACATATCAAATATTACATCATTACCGCAAACTCAAAAACCCCTCACATTGAGGAACGGTAATATTATGAGAAATCTTACATTTTGTTGGTGGGCATGCTCCTTGAGCTCAGAGGCAAGGCATCCAGCCAACTTCTGAAACTCACGATTAAAGATCAAAAAGTGACATGATCCAGAGTCATCCACAACTTCTGCTGTGACCATGTATCTGGCAAAAAAAGACTAACAAACTGTATATAGTAGCCGTGACCATAGAGACATCCAAATGACAATCACCTCCATTGCTAGACTATTAAGACTAACCTAGGAATAACATACTTGACCACCGTATTGCACTTCTCGCAGAAATATCCATGGCCATCTAGAGAAGCCTTCTTACCACAACACTTGCATGCAAGATAAGTCCACTCACGGTCCCCCTGTAAGTCCACTAAATCAGGCAGCACCATTACCTCAACTTCCTGATCTCAAAGACACCCCGTTAACAACATCACTTTCAAAATGTGAATGCCAACAACATCATTTTCTACGTAGGCTAACAATGAACACTATAAATGCTCACGCATAGGGGGTCTATGGATCAGATCAGCAAGCTAACGGTGATCACGGGTCGCGAGAATCTCGCCCGCTATAGTCAGTACTGAATAATGTGCCAGTCGTTCTGGCTTTTGGTCCTCATCAATCCCAACAGCTCAGAGTCTACAGACAATTTGAAACTAAGTTAATAAGAATCCGTATGTAAAGTTTCAAACATGGCTTTAATAATGCCAGCAACATAGTTGTTGATAAAATGTGCAGCTTCTGAAATATCTGGACTGATAAGCAAACGTGAGGAGAACATTGAGTTTTCTATAGGTAAGACCAAGCTATCCAACTCAAGATATATATATATATATATATATATATATTTATATATTGCCAGAAGGGTGGGTAGATATGACTGATGATGGAGTGGGCCTTTAATACGGAGGTGGCCCTAGCCATTTGCCAGTCAGTACAATGGGTCTTTTGCTTTGCTTTGTTGACTTTTCCCCTTTTAACATTTCTTCAATTATACCTAAGAGTTGGTTTTGTTAGTAAGTAATAGGCTTATAACTCATAAAATTGTGAGAACTTTATTGATAAATAATCTATAAATATTTTTATAAATACTTTTTGAATATAGAGGTATGTTCTGAGTTCCGACCCTCATAAGCCTTAGGACCTAATTCATCTATAAATTTTTTTGTAAGAAAAAATTTTCTTCAATTGTGTATTCAAATGACAAGAAGTGATTAAAGTTGATTTCTCTTTGCTAAAAAAAAAGTTGATTTCTCCTCTCCCCCTACTTTTGGGGATCAACTCTGCATCGCTAATTCACAATATAAAAATAATGGTACGCCTGGCCTTTAGTCAATAAATTGAATTTCTAATTTCTATGAGTATTGCCTTTTTTCACCAATAAAAAAATATATAGTGTTATTAATATTACTCCTTTATTCAGTTTTTATTATAACTCCTTTTTTTTTATGGAAATTATAGCTCACTTCTAATAGTTGATTCATTGACTTTAAAAAAAACAGTTTTTTAAATTTTATTTTTATATACATTCTTATTAAATTGCAATAAGGAAAATATTTTTCTTAAAAATAATTAAAGTCTCACCAGGTGATTTCTATAAAACCATTAATTCTTTCTAAAAGACACAATCTATGTAAGGGATCAGAGAGAGTACAAACTTAATAAAAAAAGGCAACATACACCTAGCAAATTAAAGCTCGCATTGGTGGTGGCAAATGGCAATTAAGAATATATCTTGAAAGAAGGAAAGGGAAGGAGAAAAAAAAATCCCAACTGCAAGCACTTTTGGAAAAGGGAATTGGTGAATTATTTAACATACACGTCTGGATATTATCAAACTCATGTATATATCAAACAAAAACTCGATTATTAGAGATCTAACAATAATAAAAGAAGCAGAGTCCAAGATCAAACAAAGTCTTTTTATTCGTTTGAACCATTTATATCTAATTTGAATAATCCAGATTTAAAATCTTTAGTTAATTATTTTAAATAGAAAAATTATTTTTTTTAAAAAAAGATAGTTAAGATATTATCTTTATTTTGAATTCTATACATATTAAAATAATTATTTTGAACAAATAAACATAAAAAAAAAATCCAGACTATCCAAATGAGATATAGATGGTTTAGATCTGATGAGTTTAGGATACCCATTAAACTGATAAGCATCAAAACTAGTTTCTTTTTTCGTATAGTAGAAGCAAGAAACTTCTTGCACACCAGAAGATTGATGAACAAAAGGAGATTTAAACAAATAAAACTACTACGCGCAACGCTATTGAAACACGTTCATAACCTACTATCCCTGGTTATTAATATTAAACTCAATTGACTAATTTAAGAATGTTAAGAAAGTTAAATAAATAGTTTTAAAATATTATATTTATCATTTTTTTAAAATTAATTTGTCTGGCTTATAAATTGATATATAATCTAATGATACATATAAGTATTGTAGAGAAATCATGTAACATACTGCCTGTGGTGGATTGTAATCTTATATTTAGGATATAATTGAACATCAAATTAACTCTTATATTAAGAACCGGAAGTAATATATTATAAATTAACAATCTTTTTTGCTTTGTTAATTTCTTCAAATAAGTTAGATGGATACTATATCGAGGTAGTAAAACTTAAGATTATCATATGCGAGTTGCAAATTAGAGTACTTTAATTTCGCAAACAATTTTTGGGTCTCGGAGGGTAGCTGCTCCGCTTCAAACAACGCCATGCGTCAAACTTCGAATTCCGGTTTCTGCTTTGCTGGCCAGCAGAAACTGGATTTGATGTCTATACCATGAACTTGCAAAAGACTCCAGATCCAAATCACGATTACAAATATCTAATATCCATGTAACAGATTTTATGGTGATGGTTTATATATTTTCTCATCGTGTCATCTATGTGGTTCTTAATTGATTCCAAACAATGCAAGGATGAACGTAAGTAGAGAAAGAATAGGATAAAAATAGAGCCCTCTTATTCATACAGCAGAAGCGTGAAACTTCTTACACAGCAGTAGCCAGACTGGACAAAAGGACATTTAAGAGAAATAAAAGTACAAGAGCAAACTCAGGAAGGGGCAAATGAAATTTGATAACTTGGCGGAGAGATCATCGCCTAAAACTTGCGAGTTGCAAACGCTGGCAGCAAACTAATTAGAGTCTGGATCTGAAGAGTATTTTCTCAAACGATTTTTGGTTCTTAGAGAGCAGTTGCTCCCCACGGAACAACGCCTTCGCTGGGGCCAAAGCCTGTTCCATGGCGCTCTTGGTCTCATGACATGAGGGTCTCTTAGGCTTCAAAAGATAGGCTGCAACAACCATCTCAATCCCCACGCTCGCTGTCGGCTCCTTAATACTGCACAGAACTTTCAGGTGGTTCACTATTCTTTCTTCAACGTCTTTCCAGTTGAAGTTCAGTAAGCAAATGCCACAGGAAAAATATTTTCAAATTCAACGGTTGAGTGAAAGAGTTCATCCCAAATGACTATCATACGAGGCGGAATCAGATTCGGTACTTATCATTTTGATGAACACTCTAAGTTTATCAGATTTATATCATTCACATCTTATTTAGATGGTCCATATTTGATTTTTTTTTTATTTGTTCAAAATAGTCATTTTAATTTGTCTAGAATCTAAAATAAAGATAATTTTGTTAACTGTCATTCTTTAAAAAAAAAGATTTTTCTATTTAAAAATAATTAATTAAAGATTTTAAGTTTGGACTATTCAAATCAGATATAAATGGTCCAATTTGATGAGCTTAGGATGTTGATTAAGGTGATAGACACTTAAACTGATTCCTAAAGGCATGCGAGGTAGGAGAACTTTTTAAATTTATAAATTCCACTTTATTTGTAAAACTCTGCAAAATGAAACTTAATTGTCTAGACATCTCGGTGAAAGAATTTAGCCAGAAAACTGCGAGAGATATACTCCTCTGATCCTATTTACAGGACAGAGAGAAAAGATATTTTTTGGTCCTATTTATAAGGCACTGAGAGAAATTTTTTTGTATAGATATATAATTTTACCCCTCATTTATTATTATGTTGATTTTGTTTACATGAGGTATAATGTATATTAAATAGGGATAAAATTATAAAGTTATTAAATTTTAAATGAGAGTTAATAAAGTTTAAGGTTTTTCTTAGTCTGTGTGAAATATACTAAAAGTGCTTTATAAATAGGATGAGTGGAGTATTAATTACTGTGAGAGATATTAATTAATCTCTATTGTTTTTCATTCACAATAGCTGGATGCAACCGAGAAGCGATTCGATCATCAATCCGATTGGAGGCAGCCCAAAAATAACAGTCAAGTGCTAGATCTATCCTGTCGTGCTTAAATGCAGCCCAAAAATAAAAACTAAAATAACAACAAAATAATTATTACTCATATTATTTTGTCTGATCACTCGTCGTTTGCGAATAATAGCAACAAAATTGAAATAATTACAAAATGAATAAAGACTTGTTTATTTTCTTGTTTTTAAAAACAGTAAAACAAAAAAACTTGTTTAGTAATTTGCTTTTAGTTGACTGTTTTAAAAAACAAAAAAACATGAATATGTTTTTAAAAACTAAAAAATCAAAAAAAAATTATTTTTTTTATTTTTTATTTTTGTTTTGAAAAATTTTGAGAAATCTTATTCTCTTCTCACTTACTATCTACCACTTATCATTACCAGTGGCAATTATCACCCATCAAATGTGATTTTTTTTAAACATGATTTTTTAAAAATTATTATCAAAACAAAGTTTTTTGTTTTTGTTATCAAAACTTGTTCTAAGAAATAATTTTATAAAATTGTTTTTGAAAACAAGGAAAAAAAAAAAACAAAAGCAAACAGGCCCTATATTAGCGGAGACAGTCTGAAATAAAAACGATTGGTGAGGCAGAGACAATTTTGAAAAGTCAAGTCTTCTGTACACACGGGTAAAAAACTGTATTCATGTAGTTTTGTTGCGTTGGTTGAAGAAGAAAACAAAATAATTTCAAAAAAAAAGACGGTAATATTTCCCCGAGAAGTCGCATCACCTAGCGAGGAGCAGCTGGAGATTATCATCTTTACTATGATATTTTCAAAATGTTTATTTGAATATTACTATAGTTAATTATTGCACTGTATATAAAAGAAATACAGATAAAAATATTTCAAGTCATGCGAATGCAATGTTAATCTAAAGATATAATTGGGTACCATTAGTTTCGGGTGCATGAATGTGTTCCTCCTCCATTTGTTGTTTAGCGTCATGTTCGAAGTTTGAAATTTCCACCGAATGAACTTTCACTTCCTGAAATTGACTTGGCAATTTGTTCAAGTCCAAGTCCAAAAGAAACTGGCTACCATTAGTTTCAGGTGCATGAATGTTTTCCTCCTCCATTT